ATAATTAAAAATATATGTGTTTATGACGTAAAAGCGTATCGTAACTGGAAAATAAAACCCATTTTAACGTAATTCATACTGTTATTCTACGAAAAATAGAGCTACCTACGTACATGTGTAAACACCAAAATTATTATTATGAACGTGGATCATACGTAGTGCTGCGTTTACCATAGATAGTAATAATGTGACCTAGTGAACATAATCCTTAATGCCATTTTCACATAAGATAATTTATTTACGCCATATACATCACCAACACTTGCTAAGGATCTTTTGTAAAAYATAATAATTAAGCGAAATACCTTTTTATTTTTTTCTATTATTTCAGAAATGAGTCAAACTTTATTGTATATGATGAATATAAGAATAAAATTTCTTATGATTTTTGAGTCAGTTTAAAGTTAAATATCCCACAACAAAAATKTAGAGGATAATATTTTCGAGGGTATGACATATCGGTTTTATGTTTTATTATTATTTGACTTGGTATTCGACTTTAAAAATAAAACATAAATTTTGTAAATTTAAATTGTTTTGAGACAATATTTAGATAGTCATAAAAATATTATTCTCTATCGATTTTGTGATGGGTGATTTTGCTTTAAGATTATTTGAAATCCTAAACAAATGATTTTAAGTAAATTGGTTTGGTCTATTTTGGGCARAAATATATTAAGATACAGAAAGAAAAAACAAACAGTGCACTTTKCACTTACATCCTTAGTTCTGATATTTTTTCATAATTTTTATTAGTTGCTAATGTAAAACACTATGCTATAATTAATCATTTATAATAATTTAAAACAAATAATTATTGCCACTGTTTATCTTGTACTTTTCTCAAACAAATTAATGTTTCACATCCCTTTTTTTTTAGACTGCGACTGAAGCGTGCAGAAATACTAGAGACAAGCGCAATGACGATTTGACGCCTCGATTCGTATTTAAAAATTTCGCAAAAAGGTATCATTTAAGTGTTTATTTTTAAATATGACCATATGTCGTATATGTTTACGAAGGTGAATCAAAAATTAAGTTGCATTATTGCGCCATGTATTTTGCAACTATATTATGCAACTTATATACTTTTTGAGTGTCTTTCGTAGATATATATACATACGGTAAACGTAGTGTTTTAGTGGTTGTCGATATAGTGTTTATAGGCACGGGTATATAGGTACAACGTAATACATACATAGKCACATCAAATGAATAAAAGCGTCAAAATTAAAAGGTCWTGTTATATTTGCGGTAGATATAATATATATGATAATAATAACATACAAACGTTTATTTTTTTTAGGTTATTCCTTATTATTTAATTTTTATTACAATTAAATGTAATAGGTATAGCCGTAAAGGTCTTAATAAAGCATCTAATAGTTTATTCTACAAAAGCAAATATTATTTATAATATAAAATCATATTCGATTAAAGTTATGTAAATTTATCGCTGTAATATTGTAACATATAAATTATTATGATTTAAAAATGTTCAATTCGTTCTACTCTAAATATTAATAATATTTAAAACATTTATCGATAATTATTTTTAATGGAATATGAATAATGAATAATTAGACTTACACACTATTTTAATATATTAATTATGAAGTACTTATATAATA